AGAAGCTGAAGCTCTGGCTGTTGGTACCAGGCTCCCATCCCTGGGTTTCTTCCTCCACGTCCCCGCCGTGCTCCTGGTCGGGCAGGACTTAGGACCTCGGATAGCTCCGGGAAAGTGCGGAGGTGTCCTGGACTTCTTTCTCGCGAGAGCAGGGAGAAAGGCCTTAGAAATAGAGCGGGAGTCTCGCGAGAGCTGCTGAGACCAGGGGCGGTGCGCGCTCCCTGTTCCCAGACCCTGAGCGCCTGGAGGCGGGCTTGGCGCCGCATCGCCGGGTGCAGCGAGAGCCCTGGGCGGCCTTTCGGCCTCCGAGAGTCAGCGGCGGGTGAGTCCGGGCCTGACGGCTCGGAGAAGGGCTTTTGCAGGGAAGCTGGGCGCAGGGCGAGAGGTAGGGGTGGGGTCATCCCTTCTCCACTTTGTACCCACTACGCTTCACCTTTGGATGCAGGAGGCTGGCCGAGATGCTGGAGAGGTGGAGAGTCGAGGTCACCTTTCCTGTTTGGAGCCCCGGATTCTCCCAGGCCTTCCAGCTCCCACCATCTCTATCCCTAGCTCCCTTAGAGGAAACCCACATTTTTGGGTGACGTCAGACCTCTGGATTCTGGAGCCTAACTGGGCCTTGGGCCCTCCATTCTCCCCCTTAGACCCTCTCAGTTTTCTAGAAATCGGTTTTCTCTTTCTAGAAATCGGGGATGGTGCACGCCATAGGGGATGGGGGCGACTGGAGGCGGGTAACTGTGGCATCCTTTGCGTCCTTTCTCACTAGAGGCGCGCCTGCTGATGGACCCAGGTTGCTACTCCCCCACCTCCACCCCACTCCCGCCTCCCAGTGCAACCGACCTTTGGGCTGCAGGTCTTAGCCGCCTCAGGGTTTCGGCCGGGAGGGGGGTGGGCGGGGGCGGGGAGAAAGCGGGGAAGGGGGTGGTGAATGCAGTGGCTTGAGCCTGGGGTCCCCCAGGGCTGAGGTGGTGTGTTGGGTGTGCCGCATGTAGCTAATTCCAACGCTGGCTGGAGTTTGTCACGAGGATAAGGGTGAGGTATTTGGCAAACCGACCCTTCCCCTGCCTTCGAGAGCTCTTGGTCTGGGGGTTAGAGGAACCAAGTAGAGACTGAGAATTGCCCCAGCTTCCAGATGGGGCGTTTAGGAAGGGCCAGACAGACCCTACTGTGGACACAAGGAGAAAGAGCCAGCGAATAAGAGACTTCCTGGAGGGGGTGAGATTTGGACGGGAAGAGAAGGCATTCCCGGGGAATGGTATGGGCAAAGGCATAGAGATGGCAATTAAGCACAGCTGTTGGGAAGCCTGCCTGTGAGCCCTTGGGGTGGGAGTCTAAAGAATTTTGTAGCTACTGGCTCTGCCTCTGATGGTCAGGGCTTTTAAAGAGGGAGATGGATCGCTTCTCGGCCTTTTGGCTAAGATCAAGTGTAAAGAGGGAGATGGTTCTTTTAGGGGCTGTATTGGCAGAAATGATTTTCTGGGGCTATACCAGTCTTACTAGTTGAGATTTGATCTGGGTTTGGTGAACCTGAAGTCAAAGTCTTCAAAGCTGAGAGAGGAGTCTCACAGGTTAATGGGCCACAGAAAGAGGGTCTTCTTAGGTCTACAAGCCTATGGAGTCCTTTCCCTGGCTGGCTAGCCATGTCTGAACAAGTTCATTCCTCTCTCTGTGCATCTTTTTGCCAGCACCTTTCTTTAGGGATGAATTAATAGGATTACGTACTGACCTCTCTTGAGGAAGCTGCTTGCTCTAATTTAGAGCCTCCTTCCCAGTTCTTCTCCCTTTCCTTTTTCTCCTCTCTCTACCTCCCTCTCCCTGCTCCTCCTCACAACATTTCATTTAGGGGCTGAACTTCTTCCCTGCTGACAGCCTGGAGTCGGAAGGTTTCCTGGAGGAGTGGGACAGCAGGGTTGACAGATGCTGTGGGCTTAGCGTGGTTGCGGCAGGGCATCAGTTGCTCCTCTCCCACCCTTTGGGAGGGTATCCAAGTCTTAAGCAGGAACACAGATTGACAGTGCTGTGTCTTGCCCTGTATTGGGTCCCTCCTGGAAACCCCACCCATGAGAGACTGAGGAAGAGATTGAATCAGAATGAGTGACCACTTGGTTCAGAATTTAAGCAGTAGGAAGTATAGCAGGGATATCTGAGAAAATAATAGGACGTAGAGGAGCTAACAGAACTCTTATTTAGGGACACTGAAAGCAGAGATAGACATGATCTCATGAATGAAGCTGGGTTGTGTGGGAAGCAGGTCAGCCTGTGGTAGAGAAGCAAAGGGTAGTGGGACAGGTTTGTAGCTGATTGACACAGGCCTTGAATACTAGGCACAGGGTCAGTAGGGGCTACTAAAGAGTCATCACAGGATAGTGATAGCAACGCCAGGAGAGTGTTACTTTCTCAGCATGATTCATAGTTCTGAACTTCAGAGTTGGTGGTGGGATAAGGGGACCAGAGGGTGAGTAAGAAGGGAAAACTTCCACGTTGGAATCTAGGCAGGCAGGAAGAAAATTATCATTTCTTTGCCAAGGATGAGGGGCTCGTGCGGGGAGGAAGGAGAGCTGGGCAGCAGGCAGCCTGGAACCAGCCCCAGGTCTCTGGCCTAATCTGAGTCTAGGCTTGAGTCTCTTCTCTTGGCCATGGTCCTCACTATCTCCACTGTGAGCTCTATCCTCCCAGCTTCACAGTAAGAAATGGAATAATTATAATCTGGGTTTTAAAACAAAATCCAGGTAGTATTTGCTATCTTATTTTTTTTCTCAGGTTTTTTTTTCTTCTTTTCTTTTGCTATCTTGTTGATAACTAAGGTAGTTTATCCTTAGCTCTGTACTTTGGGGAGAATATATATATATATATATATATATATATATATATATATATATATATATCTCACCCTCAACCATCACCCAAAACATTTTTAGAAACAGAATTGCTACTTTCTCATTTTGTAGTCAAGAAATTTAGTGTGCTGAGGCCACTCATTTCTCTCTGTTCCTATCTCTCTGTCTCTCTGTCATTCTCTCTCCCTCCCCCCCACCCCCCCCCCCCCCCACACTCACGTACACACTCACACTCTGAAATAACAGCAGAGGAACCTGGAGCCTTCCATTCTTGTGACCATAGCCTCCTGTAGCTCTCCCAAGCCCAAGTTCTTTCTGGGCTAACCATCATATACAAATTGAGCTCTGGCTTATCCCACTCTGTGTGATCCATACTTTGCTACACTGACTTCTCTGTAACCATGGGCACACCTTTGGAAGACAGCCTGGGACAAGGGACAGAGGTATGGCTGGAGCCAGGATTAGATTCTCCTCCTCTAAGCCTCCTAGAATCCAGTTATTATCCAGTTATCTCCTTGTCTCTCTGCCTTGTTGTGTGTTTTGTGTGTGTGTGTGTGTGTGTGTGTGTGTGTGTGTGTTTTGTATTTTTTTTTGAGGACTTCAGTGCTGGACAATCTCCCACTCCACATCCTGTTGTCCCATGGGAGGTGATGCCTCTTCCTGCCACCCTTTCTACCAGGTACTCCTGAGTGTGCTCATTATTGTCATGTGACTACCTCTGAAACCTTAAATTCCAGTATGCTCTGACCAAATTCCAACTTTTATTTTACCTAAAGGGACCCTAAAGAGACCTCTCATTCTCTGATACCTCCATTTTTCCTATATGATGAGCATCACACCTTCTGTGTCTTATCTGGATTCCAGAGTCCAGGATTTTAGCCATTCTGTGGCCCTTGCCCTCAACTAACCTGCCACTTTGCCTGTGTGTCCCAACCCAGCAGCAGAAGTCCCAATTCACATACCAGAGCAGTTTGTTCTACTTCCTTGGAGGACCTCCAGCCTCAGCTGTCTCTCCACCATTTTTTAGAAATCATTTCCCTCATCACTGGGGACTCTTGAGAGAAAGGAGGAAGGTAGAGAGAATACTAGATGAAAGATAAAGGTATTGTTTTTAGTGTTTTAAGTAGGAGTCAGGAGACAAGATGGAGAGTACTCACTCACTGAGTGTTTGCAGTGATTCTCAACCTTTCTAATGCCTCAACCCTTTAACACAGTTCCTTATGTTGTGGTGATCACCAACCATAAAATTATTTTCATTGCTACTTCATAACTGTAATTTTGCTACTATTAATGAATCGTAATGTAAATATCTGTGTTTTACAATGGTCTTAGGCAGCCCACCTAGTGGTTCTCAATCTGTTGAGCCTAAGACCATCGGAAAACACAGTTATTTACATTATGATTCATTAACAGTAGCAAAATTACAGTTATGAAGTAGCAATGAAAATAATTTTATGGTTGGGGGTCACCACAACATGAGGAACTGTATTAAAGGGTGGTGGCATTAGGAAGGTTGAGAACCACTGGTTTAGAGTGTCAGGGGCCTGAAATTTAAGTCCAAATGTTGACCAATGGTATGGCCAAACAGTAACAAATTAAATAGCTACATATATGTAAGTCATAGCATAGAGAAACTTTGCCAAATACACAGGATTTCCATGTTATTTAAATTTAGGTAGTACTTCACTTTAGGTTCAAATCATTTGTCAATTAGTTATCTTATGATTTGTCAAATTTTGAAGGGAGGTCTGATTTCCAGACATCCTCAAAGATCATGCTCCCTAACAATAGTGAACAGTAATTCTATTCTTTTTTTTTTTTTTTTTGTACACATGTTCACACCTATATTTCAAGTTTGGAAATGCATATTTGCAAGCAGCAATACAAAATATCCATGAAGTAATGCATAATCTCTGAAAATTATGAAAACATCCCTGCTACCAATACATTTCTAAATACAAAACTGACTACCATATTTGTTACCTCTGTGTAGCGAGAGAAGTTCATTTTCAAAACAGATAAAATTCAGTCTGTAGGTGTGAATGGTATGAATGACAGTCTATTTTTTTTTTTTTTTAATTTCTTAGACGGTTTGGATCCTTAAGCATGCAAAACCTCAGAGAAGTAGGGTCCACAAAGGAACCAGGGTTATCTTATGGCATCCAGTTAAGCCAGAGCTGGGAATGCCTCTGGGTCATCTACATCAGGAGCAGACGCACTTGACTTGTCAGTCCTGCTGCCTCGGTTTGGACGTCCACCACGCCCATGGCCACCTCGTCCTCCCCTGCCACCACGTCCTGGGCGGCCAAGGTCTCCAAAATTGATCTCCAGCTGAGATGTTATATCATTTGCTGGCTTCTGGAAATGATGATCCATAACCGAATCTTCAGTGTGAGCCTCTTCACTCTTTGACTTATGAAGAACAAATCCCTTCTTCCACTGACCATCAGCACCTTCATTTGGTTTCCGTATATTAAATTCTACTTTTGCCCGGTCCTTATTTTGAATAGCTTTCCACTCATCCAAAGTCATTTCTTTTGGATCCTCTTCCTTTACTTCAACTTCGTTTTCCTTATTTTCAGTGTCTGCAACTGGATGTTCTTCACCTTCAGGTGTTTCCTCAGTCACATTTGGTTGCTCCAAGTTAGTTAATTCATCTTCGACAGTTCCCCAGTTGTGAGATCCGCTACCTCTATGTTTGTCCTCGTGCTTCAGGCCAGATCTATCACTTCCACTATGCCTATCAAATTCACGTTTGCCACGAGAGTCAAATCCATCTCCTCGGCCCATTCCTCGTCCACGTCTGCCTCGACTCTTCCAAGACCACCCGGCCTCGGGTAGGCCGTCAATAATCGGTCTATCAACTGAAAATTCTCCTCCTTCACTCTTTTCTTCAAGTGGCTTTTCAAATCGTCTTTCACGAGGTGGGCGCGGTTCTGGTCTCCTATCAATTATTTTCCCTTCACCCTGAAGTTGTTGATCAGGTCTTTTTCCAACACGTCTTATTCCTTCTTTCTTAAGCGCCACGGGCGGCTGCGCCTCCTCTTTCTTGTCAGCCACGCCGACGTTGGACGGCAGCGGGTTCTTGCGTTCTTTCTGGGACTCTGCGCAGCTGTTTGCCGCATTGGAGTTGGTCTGGGCTGCGGCCTGAGCTGCGCTCTTAGCCCCGGGGCCCCCAACACCGCCCCCGCCGGCTTCTTTTTTCTTGTTCTCTGCTGCCTTCAACACCTCGAAGGGGTCCGATTCATCGTCAAATAACTGGTCGAATCGGTTGGTGACCACGCAGCCGAAGCCTTCCTGTAAATGCCCAGGCATGATGGTGGCTCGGCCGCGCATTCCTCTACGGATTGCAGCGGGCCGCGCCGAGCCAAGAGCGCCTGCTTCAGCTCTTCCTACAAGATGCAGTAATTCTATTCTTACCGCACGCATTATACATACTGTTTGGCCTATGAAACTATACCATATTAACTAAATGAAAGACATAGCACCTTTGGCTGAGGAGGATATAGTGGAGTTAATTAATAAAAAAGGAACATCAAAATGTAACATTAATAAGAATACATCAGATGAGAAATAAATAAATGATGAAATGTTAAGTCAGCATGATTTTATGATTATTGCAAAAAAGTAAATAAAAATTTTGTGATTATTTAAAAAAAGAAAGAAATCCTTTCCCTCTTCCCAACAACTCCTAGTTCCATTTCATGGGAGGAGTATTCCAAACTAGGCTACTGTTCCCAAACCCTTTATTTATGGAAAGGCTGGCTGGGGGTTTTGGGAGAAGTGGAACCATACCCATGTTTCTCCACTTCTTAAATCTCAGCAGAAGGAAGGATCCTACTCTTAATATGGCTATTCTGTGCTATGGAAGCTGGCCCTCTGTCTCCTGAGAAACTAATGTTCATCAGCTGTTTTTCCTTCTAACTGTACCAGCTTATAAATAAGCTCATCTCCTATCTGGAAAACCTTTCTAACCCATGTTCTCCACTAGTTGCTGCTGTTTTAAACCAGAGGCTTTGTCTTATTGCAAAAATGATATATGACTATTGTAGAAATATTAGAAAAGAAAGATAAAAAATAAAGAAAACATAATCTTTTAAAAAATATACTTTTTAAGTGATTTCAGAGAGGAAGGGAGAGGAAGAGAGATAGAAACATCAATTATAAGAGAGAATCATCAATTGACTGCCTCCTGCATGCCCCCTATTGGAGCTCAAGCCTGTGGCATGTGCCTTGACCCAGAATCAAACCAGCGACCTCTTGGTGCATGAGTCAGCGCTCAACCACTGAGCAACACAGGCCAGACTAAGGCTATATTTTTTAAAAGAAGAATAGAATTCTTCAGTGGCTGACAGGACTCTGAGAATAAAGCTCAAATCCTGCCCATGGCCTTGAAGGCCTTGATGACCCTGACCCCTCCCCCTTATCAACCCTATTTTTGCCTTTCTGTCCTTCCTCTTGGCTCTACTTCTTTCTGTTCCTTGAATATACCAGGCTCTTGGTCTCCAGATCTTCATATCTGTTTTTCTGATTCTTTTCCCCCCTAGCCATCTCTTACTCAGCCTCTAGGGTTCACCTGTATGAAGCCTTCCATGGCTCCTCCAGAATAAGTCAGGGAGGTGCTCGGCTGTGTTCCTACAGCTTTTTGTACTTGCTCTCCCAGAGCACTTCTCAGGCTATGTTGTAATCGCTCATGAACTTAGCTGGACCCTCTACTCTGACTTCCTCCTCTCAACTCCAATATGTCTCCAATATTACAGAAAAGGTGAAGCAGATACCTGGGACTCTCACTCCTTTCCGAGGCCTTAAGCCTGCCTGCATCAACTTGCATCATGCTCTCCTTCCTTCCTTTTAGGACTGAGGCTTGTCTTACCTCCTTGCACTGGGTCCCATGCTTCTCCGCTTTGAAGGGTTAACTTCTGTCGTAATTGCAACTTTCCCCCTGGATCCTTCACATCTCTAGCTTATTTATTTCCATCTTAAACAGCCATCAGCCACATCTCTTCCTGGGCCCTATATCCTGCCTCGCTAGTGCCTTCTCTTTCTATTCCCTTCCTGGGCATAGGCAGCCTTTTTCAAAGAGCTGTCTACACCTGCTTACCTGTTCGACTATAGATCTAATTTGGCTGCCACACCCATTCCCATCCTTCCAAAACAATTCTTTCTGGGATCACAGATGATTTGATGTTACTGAATATAATGAACATTTTCAGCCCAGCCCTTTTCCTACTGTTGTATTTGTTCACTGTCTACTGACTTTGGAGATTCCACTCTCTTCTGCCTCATCAGTTGCTTCCTTTCATTCTTTGCCAGCTCATCCTCTTTTGTCTGACTTTTTTTTTTCATTTATTTTTTTCAAACAGGTAATAATTACATTCACATGATTCATAATTTGAAAAGATGTCTCAAATTTGATCAGTACTAAAATGAACATTTTGATATTTCAGAAAACATTTTAATGTCTGTGTCTTAAAAATTTTGACATTTTAAAATTATAATTTGGCAGTATTTCTTTTTGTGCATAAATAAAATTAACACTCTTAAATCCATGGTGTCTTAGGGTAGATAGTCTATAGATACATAGTAACAAATCTTTTTCCCCACTTGCTCCACATCTATTCAGTTTCTCTGTCCTATAGGGAGCCACATTTCTCCCCCCCTTGATATCCTACTAGAAATTCTTTGGTTATATATTACTGAATACATATAGGGTGGGGCAAAAGAAGGTTTACAGTTATTCATATGGAAAATAACACAATGATCTTAATATATAAAGAGGTAATATGCAAATTAGATTGGGACGCTGTAATGTGACGACTGGACAGAGGAGGTTGCATGCGCAGGTGAGGCCCAGAGTGGAGATGGAGACGGAGACAGAGAAGGGGCCTGCCCAAGCCGGCAGGAGTGGACACAGGCAGGAGGGCCGGGGGACCTGGGGTTGGCGGAGCCACCGCACAAGCCCCGGAATGAACACACGCAGGGGTCGGGGAAGGACGGCTTGGGGTGGAAGTCAGGCACGGTCCCACCGCCCACGATGCCAGTCAGGCGTGGATCCCAGCAGCCCAAGCTGGCAGCCCATGGGGTGCCTCCTTGTGTGCTGGGCCTCTAGTCCTATATACGTAATATGCCAATAATAGTGCGCTATGATGACTGATCAGTAGGAGGGTGGGGCAGCAGCTACAAGCGGGGCAGAGCTGCGAGCTGCGGTGGGCAGAGCAGCCAGCTGAGGCCAGCGGCAGTGAGCTACTCGAGCACAGATTTGTGCGCAGGGCCAGTAGTTAATAAATAATAGTGTAAGAATAAACTTAGTGTTTCTTATACACACAACTCTAAACCTACTTTTGTCCCACCATGTATGTGTATGTGTATGTGTGTGTGTATTTTCCCCCCCTCAATATTTTATTTTGAAAAATTTCAAAGCTACAGAAAGGTTTAAAAAACAGTGCAGTGAACACTGTACTAAGGTATGTCACCTAGATTCATCAATTAATATTTTGTCACATTTGCTTTATCTATTTATCTTTTTTATTCTTTTTTTTTCTTTTCTTTTTTTGCAGACCATTTGAAAGTAAGTTGCAGACAAGACACTGTACCTGTAAATACTTCAGCATGTGTCTCCTAAGAACAAAGATATTCTCCTAGGTAACCACAACACCTAAGAAATTTAACATTGAATAATGATATCTACTATGCAATCTATTTTCAGATTTCTCTACTTGTCCTAAACATGTCCTTTAGAGCTGTGGTTTAAAATTCTAGGGTTCACTAAAAGATCATTCATTGCATTTGGCTATGTGTCTCTTAAGTCTTTTTTTAATTTAGATGAGTCCCCCTACCAATTTTTTGTCTTTCATGATATTAACATTTGTCTTAGAGAATTTTCCACAATCCGGATTTTTCAGGGTATTTTTTCATACTATTTTACAAGTAAACATTTTGGCAACAACACTACATAGATATTCTTGTGTCTTTCTGTGTGTCAGTAAATGCATGATGCCCTTTGGTCTTATTACCAGAAATACTAAGTTTAGTTACTTCTCTATCAGGTCTTCTCATTAGTGAACTACTTTTTCTCTGTTGTGATTTATAACTAATCTAGGGGGTGGTACTCAAACTGTGTGATTCTCTCTCTCTCTCTCTCTCTCTCTCTCTCTCTCTCTCTCTCTTTTTAATACATTTTATTGATTTTTTACAGAGAGGAAGGGAGAGGGATAGAGAGCTAGAAACATCGATGAGAGAAAAATATTGACCAGCTGCCTCCTGCACACCCCCTACCAGAGAGATGTGCCCAAAACCAAGATACATACATGCCTTTGACCGGAGTCAAACCTGGGACCCTTCAGTCCGCAGGCCAACGCTGTATTCACTGAGCCAAACTGGTTTTGGCTGATTCTCTTATTAAAAGCTATTGATCATCCTTGTTTGTATTAGTTCTTATACAAGGGCTGCAAATGGTGATTTTTTAAAAATTCTGATTCTTTCTATTATTAAAACTTTCCCTTTCTTCTCTCCCTTTCTTTTGTATGTCACCCCAGACTTGTACATTATTTTCATTCAATGTGTTATAACTCACCCATGACTGAACATTATTCATATTTTTCAACTTTCATGAAGAAATATTAAAAAGGAACACTTTAAAAAATGTTTTTATTGATTACAAAGAGAGGAAGGGAGTGGTAGAGAGAGATAGAATCATCAATGATGAGAGAGAATCATTGATTAGCTGCCTCCTGCGCACCCCTTACTGGGGATTGAGCCCAAAACACGGGCATGTGCCCTGATCAGGAATTAAACTGTCAACTCCTGGTTCAAAAGTTGACGCTTAACGACTGACCCACACTGGTCAGACCAAATACATACCATTTTATTTATTTATTTTTCTTAAATGATGAGTAGGTATTTATTTATTTATTTACTTACTTATTTTTGTTAATCCTCATGCAGGGATATTTTTCCATTGATCTTTTAGAGAGAATTGAAGAGAAAGGGAAAGACAGAGAGGAACATTGACATGAGAGAACACATTGGCTGATTGCCTCCTGCATGCGCTCAGCCAGGACCCGGGCTGAACTCTAGAACCAAGGTGTGTGCCCAGAGTCAAACCTGGGATCCTTTGGTCCAAAGGCCGATGCTCTATCCACTGAACCAACCCAGCTAGGGCCAAATACATATTTTAAATGAGACTTCTGACTTTTTGTTTAATTGACCAACTTTTGGTCCTACTGAAATAATAATATTAAATGTGAATTGCTTTATTGTGCAGTTACCATATACCCAAGTGAAAGGCTACAGAAGGGGCACCCTTTACTTTATATAGTTTCACCCAGATTCACCAGCTGTGAACATGTGTTACATTTGCTTTGATTCTGTCTATATCTATCTCTTTATCATTTCTTCTTTTATGAACTATTTGAAGTAACATCACGATA